GTCGAGGTTTCACAATAGTAACTGTAGTTCTGCCCCTCAGAATTCTAATACTTATAGTTCTGTATACAACCACCTGTCTACTTTTCACTCACTTCCAAAAGTTGTAGATAATGTGCCACACAGCACAAATGCAGTTACACTCAACAAATGTTACTTCAACTACTCATAACAACTGTATAGTATTACTTAGTACAGTTGAAATATATCTCTTTGACAAATCTGGGAAACGAATTTATGTCAAACCACAGAATCTCAGACCATTAAAATTAATTAATGAGAGACTTAAATAGAAGGGAACGTACTCTGGTACGTTCACTTCTATTTAAGTCTCTCATTTGCAGATTTATTGGGCAGCTAGTGACCACAAGTTAAATGCTAGTTGCTTTGTAATTCCAAGTATTACTGAATATTTACCACAACTAAATAAAATATACGCAAGGCAAATTCATATTCCTGGTTCGATTACATTAGCGGATTCTCGTTATGCAATTCTCAGCACAGTTCATCTATTGATTGATGCTGATTTGTATTCTGATATTCTTTTAAATAATTTAATCTCTCTTGTCCCAAAGACACCAATGTTACAGGAAACTCTTTTCGATTGCCTAATCTTCGGTAGGGTCCCAAGTTCAGATATTAGTAAAGAATATCATCACTCTACATATCTTAAACATTTGGTCACATGCCATATCAATAATATAGTCCGTCTAGAAAGTATCCGGAAAAAAGAAAGCAGAATTTTAATTTTACAGTATTTATTTTTATCACTTAAAATATAAAATTTCAACAAATAATTCATCTCATTTACTTATACAACCTCCATGTAAATCTGAACACTTAACTAAACGCCCAGGTATACCCGAAACTAGGTCAAAGCCATAATTTTTGGTAATGGTGTTCCATTCCTGTAAAACTGACCGAATCAAACTTTCTTTATATCGTGGCTCTGCTCGTTCCACTTTAATCTTCATCAGTCCCCATATGTTTGCAATGGGGCTAAGATCTGGAGATGCTGCTGGCCACGGAATTGTTGCCACTTCGTGTTCTTGCATCCAAGCTTGAGTATAAGCAGAAGTATAGCATCTTGCATTACCTTGCTGAAAATATCACCCCTCTGGATATAAAACATGAGCCGTTTCAAGAAGAAAACCATTTAGGATGTCACAATATTTCGCACTATCGACAGTACCACTAACTTTAAAGAGAGGTGTAACACCACGCTGAGATATTGCTCCCTAAACCATTAGTTTAGTGGCAAATTTGGAAATTTGAACGATAATATTTTCTCTTGATAGGACTTTTAGATGATTTGCACCAAGCTGGAAAAAACTTTCATCAGATATAAACACAATATTAAAATTATCTTCCCGAAAACGTTGACAAAATCTATTCTTTGTTGGCTTTTGCAGAGGTGTCATTGTATGGATTTTTTTGGATTCCTTGATATTATAGCCTTGCTTTTTGATATTTCCAAATCTGTTCGATAATTTTCGAAACCCTAGACCTCCATGCCATTTTTTATTCTTTTTATTCTCTCATACACTGCACTTTTTCCCAGTTCAGTCAATTGCACTAATTTTTTAACGTATCGGACACCTTATACAAATATTCCACCACTTTTCTTTTTCTACTTGCGACATTATTTCAAAATTTTTAAGTCTGTTTACAAACAACAATATTTGACAGATGGTGTTGTCATGCGATTTTGTCCATAACCTACTATTGGTACAACCTAATTGATGCATTGCTTTTGTCTTAAAATGTTACACAAAGGAAATCAATTAAAATTGAGAAAAATAGAAAATTCCGGATACTTTCTAGACGGACTATATTTCTGACAACCCCCTCTCGTCTGATGAAATGTTACATAAGTTAAAAAATAGGTTTAAAAATGGGTACAAAAATTCTGGGAGTCTGATCAACTTCCACAGATTCAGGATTCTGTAGATACAGAGCACCCCGCAAAAACTCAGTTTTTAAAGACCGTACAAATAATTTCCTTAGGTCGATACAAAGTCTATTTAAATTTAAATCGCCTTATTAGTGATATTAAATTATCAGGCTCTCTACGAGCAGCAAGGTTCGTTTTCTTTAATTAGAGAGGAAACTACACTCTGATCCACAACTCTTTAAAAGTTTAAGATTATTTAGCTAATGTCCGGATTAAAAGACGCCCGCTCCTAACCTCAAAAAATAGGCTACATTATTATCTACCTCACTTTCCAGTCAGAAACAATTACTCCAGTACAAATGTACGGCTAGTATTTAATCCAAATAATAAAACTCCTTTAGGTTGTCTTAATGATCAACTAGATAAAGAGTTTTTAACCCAACCTCTTCTTATTGATATTATTTTAAGCTTTCGCACATTCAATCAAGTTTTAATAGCAGATATCTAATATATATATATATATATATATATATATATATATATATATATACTTATATATATATATATATATATATATATAATATATATATATATATATGCAGATAAGCCTAGACAGTTCGAGTTACACCTACTTAATTTTCTTTGGCGTGACTCACCAGAAATGCCATTCAATGCATTTCAGCTCACTAGAGTTTCCTTTGGTTTGTACTCATTACCATTTCTCGCCACTAGGGTTCTCAAATACAATGCGGACAATAATAAGAATGATTTTCCTTTAGTCTGCGACACTCTCTTGTATTCTACCTATGTAGATGATATCTTAGGTGGATGTGACTCTTTAAAAAAAAATTGAACTCTTGTTCTTCCAACTTAAAATCTTGTTAGGTAACCACGGTTTTAATCTCCACAAAGTTTTCTCAAACAACGAAGAATTTTTGAAAGGACATAACCCCACCTCTTTGATGTCCTTAATACATAACTTAGGTGATTCTTCTTCGAAAGTCCTCGGAGTTAAATGGAATCAACAATCAGATACATTTTAATTTTTACCACCCTTTTGATATAGGTCAGTCAATCACTAAGAGAAGGGTGCTTAGTATTCTAATGTCTACTTTCGATCCGATGAATTTAGCCAGTTATATCACTGGCTCTTCCAAAATTCTCTTGCAACGTTTGTGACAGGCTAAACTTAGTTAAGATGAACCGATCCTCGATCCAGAATGGTAAAATGATTGGAAAATTGTATTTGATGGTTTTCAATCCATTCCCCTTTTGAAATTACCCAGATGTTTAGTATTAAATAAACGAATTATAGATATTCAACTTCACACCTTCTGTGATAGCTCTTTTAAGATATTGGTAACATGTACTTATTTGCGCGTAGTGTACGAGGATTGCTCAGTCTCATCTTGTTTAATATCTTCCAAATCTCGAATAGCTTCAAAATCTCGAATAGCAAAACAAAATCTTACAATACCTCGCTTAGAGTTGAATGTTGTGTTGATCGGAGTTATTTTAACTCAATCAGTTTCGAAAGTAATAAAGAGGAACTGGCTGATCGCACAGACTCATATTTATAGCGACTCGTTAGTAGTTCTTAGTTGGATTTTGAATAAAAGGCTTTCGTTGGATCCTTATGTTCGTAAGAAGTGTGCAGAAGATTATTGCCCTAAGCAAGGATTACTCTTTTTACCATATTTTATCTCAACTAAACGTAGCAGATATTCCGACTCATCCCAGGGACATTACACACAATTCCACCCTTTCAATATTATGGTTATTGGGCCTAGAGTTTCTCATTAAGTACCCTCTTGATTTTTACGTTACGGCAAATTACGTTAACCACGACCTCCCCTGAAATTCAAGTGAAGGAAACTCTAGAATTCATTTTCTTTAAGTTTTCTACTTTCTCTCACATGCAAAGAGTATTGGCCTATGTTTGTAGATTTATCAAAAATCTGAAGAATATAAGCTCTAATCTCCCATTGCTCTCATCTTTCCTACAGCATGAAGAAATTGAACCGGCAACTCTAAGTATTGTACGATACCTTCAATTTCGATCATTTCACAGGGAACTATTAGAATCAAAAACTGGAAACCTCTCTGGAACAGATCGCTTAGGCAACTAAATGTTTTCTGTGATCAGAAGTATTCCACACTACGTGTTGGAGGTAGACCTTCAATGCTTTCCATCTCCCTTACAATGAGAAACATCCCATGATTCTTTCTAGTAAAAATCGAATTGTATCTTTGATGATGTATCAAATTAATGTCTCCCTACTCCACAATGGCCCACAAATATGTCTGTCTCATTTCAAAATGAAATTGTGGCCTTTGTCAGGCTTAACTCAAATAAAACGTATGTCATGCATGATCATGACAGGTTTGAAGCAAAACCAGTCACCCAGTTTTTATGTCTGATCTTCACTATAATCATGTTTCAGGCACAAGACCCTTTCACCTTGTAAGCAGCAACCTATGTTATACACACACTCTCTCTCTCTCTTTCTCTCTCTCTCTCTCATTTGGGACATTGTTGTTTTGATAATAGAACGTGTTTGTTCTATTGTGTAGATACCAATTTTATCTACATTATCATTGTGTAATTTGTCTTAATCCACAATAGTTATGATGCTAACATGACACGTACAAAAATATGTAGAATTAAATTCTAGTTATATAGTTACATTAGGACGTAACGCACTTACTGCCGTAATTTATTAAAATAAGTAACAAAAATATCAACGTAATCAACAAATATATTTAAAAATAAATGTTATTAAAAAACCTAACTTCTATCGAATACTTAAAAAACTACACATTTTTTTTATCTTCTGTAAAATTTTGTATTTGTGGGATGCGCCCTATTAGAATATTGGCAACGATAATAAAATTGTATAAAAATCCTTATTATTTATTATATATTTACGGTCTATAAAACTATTTACAACCCCCTTGTATCTAACTGTAAATACTATTTAATTTTTGTGAGTTTTATTGATAATATTATATTAAACAACTTAAAATATGGATGAAGAGAAAACATAAACAAAATTAATACCGAATTTTATCAAACAAACTATATCAAAATTCGATAACCCCTTTGGTGGCTAGTTTACATATCTGAACATTGTGTTGTTTGTTACTTTTTCTTCGACATTAAAGATAATCATTATGAAGTTCCCCGTACTGCTGATATTCATTGGGTTCCTGTGTATTTGGGTAAGAACTAGTTAAATATATACATCACACATAATATATAGATCTTTTGTTAACCCAGAAACGACGCTTTGAACCGGACATTATATATATATATATATATATATATATATATATATATATATATATATATATATATATATATATTATATATATATATATATATATATATATATTATATATATATATATATATATATATATATATATATATAATATATATATATATAATATATATATATTATTGAGATATTTAAAGTCTTGGTGCGCCAAGCAATAATTAGCTAATTAATTTTATTGATTAATTAAAATTATTTAAATGATATGACTATTACTCTATCACAATTTTTAATTCTTTTATCTCAGGGTTAAATTCGTGCTTCAATATCTATGCTGTTACATGTGAAAGGTAAGGTCCAAAGAATACCGGAATAATAAAAACACATATGATCTAACCCTATATATTGAAATAAAAATAATGGAATAATTCACACTCAAAAGTTTTCAATAAACAAAATCTCATATAATAAATCTCAAAATTTTGTTCTACGTACGTGAACAATCAAAATTAATGGTACAAACAATATTAGTTGAAATCTCAAAATCCAAGTATTACTCTAAATCTCCTAATCCAAATATTTATATCCTTTCTAAATAAAGTGTAAAAAAATTGTGTTATCAATGAAAGAAAAACTGCAGAAAACAAAACTATCTCTCTCTGATGATGAGTGGTCCAAATCCTTGTTATTTGTAGACTATACTATTTACTCGTGGCCGCTCCCTAAGTAATCAGCAATCTTACAATAAATTATTGCAAGTATCTCGTTCTTAATGATCTCCTTCAAATGCACGAATCATTCAAATTATGATAGCCTTTCTCCTCTCGATAAACTGAATCTCTCGTTGGCCCGAGTGAAAAATGACTCTTGGAATATCTTCTCTTTACGATAAACTGAATTTCTCGTTGGCCTGAACAGTGACTCTTGGAATATAAGTAGAAAAATATGACTTACAATATTTTGCTGCTTCAGCTTCTGTAAGATACACTAACTCCACAAAAACTCACTAACATTCAACACTACTGCTTGCTACTTCTCGGGAACCGCCAGAGAACAATCACTGTTCGTCTTACAGACTTGGAAAACCAACTGATTTTCTTTTCTCTCTCCTAAATCTAGCTAAACTTTCATTCCTACATACCTCCCACCTTTTTTAATCTCCGCCAATCAAAACTCGTCACAATTCCCCATTCTTTCATTCCGATAACAAACAAATTTTTACCTATAATTATAAAATTTCCTAAAACTTATTTACAAATAATATTTTTCTATAATTCTTAAAAACTAACAAAAGCCTCTTTCCAAATCTCTTCTATTGTCTTTAATCGCTGCGTTAATGTATTTGGAAAAACCCGGTTCAATTGTCTTTGGGATTTCACTTAAAATTATGCGGGTCACTCAAGTATAGTATAACAAAGGAAATAATTTTATGCTTAGCTTACATTTTGTTTAATACAGGTAATCCAAAAATTTAAATATTTTCCTTCTTCGAAATGTTTGTTGGGTATTATCCTAATTCTGAATTATTTTAATGTTTTTGAATCTTGAAATATTTTAGACAAACCAATATCTTTCTCGTTTTTACATATCATAACAATATATATATATATATATATATATATATATATATATATATATATATATATATATATATATATATATATATTATTGTGATATTTAAAGTCTTAGTGCGCCAAGCAATCAATTAGCTAATTAATTAGTTAATTAATTAAAATTATTTAAATGATATGACTATGATTCTATCACACTTTTTTATTCTCTTATCTCAGGGTTCTATTCGGGCTTTAATATGTATGCTATTACATGTGAAAGGTGAGGTCCAAAGAATACCGGAATAATAAAAAACATATAGGATCTAACATTATATATTAAATTAAAAATAATAAAATAAAATTTACACTCAAAGATTTTCAATAAACCATATATCAATGATTCTCACAATTTTGTTCTTCGTACGTGAACCTTCAAAATTAATGGTACAAACAATATTAGTTAAAATCTCAAAATCCCAATTATTATTCTAAATCTCCTAATCAAAATGTTTATATCGTTTCTAAAGTAATTAAAAGAATTTGTGTTATCAATAAAAGAAAAACTGTAGAAAAACAAAACGATCTCTCTCTGATGTTGAGTGGTCCAAATCCTTGTTCCTTGTAATCTATATTATCTATTCTTAGCAGCTCCCTAGGTAATCAGCAATCTTAAAACAAATTATTGCAAGTTTGTCGTCCTTAATGATCTCCTTCAAATGCACGAATCGTTCAAATTATGCTAGCCTTTTCTCTTCTCAATAAACTGAATCTCTCGTTGGCCTGAGTGAAAAATGACTCTTGGAATATCTTCTCTTTACGATAAACTTAATCTCTCGTTGGCCTGAACAGTGACTCTTGGAATATAAGTAAAAAAATAGGACTTACAATCTTTTACTGGATCAGCTTCTGTCAGATACACTAACTACACGAAAACTCACAAACTTTCACTGCTACTGCTTCCTACCTCTGGGAAACTACCCGAAAACCACGGCCCTTCGCCTTGTACCCTTGAAAACCAACTGACTATCTTTTTTGTTTCAAAAACTAACTAAAGTCTCATTCTCAAACCAATCATCCCACCTTTTTCAATTTCATTCAATCAAAATGCGTCATCCATCTCCCATTTCTTCATTTCAATAACAAACAAATTTTTACCTATAATTATAAAATTTCTAAAACTTATTTACAAATAATATTTTTCTACAATTCTTAAAACTAAACAAAAACCTATCTTTCTAAAATCTATTCTATTGTCCTAATCACTGCATTAATGTATTTGGAAAACCCGGTTCAATTGTCTTTTATTTCCCTTAAGCTTATTCACGTCATACAAATATATTTTAACAAAGAAAATAATTTATGCATATCTTACGTTTTGTTGAATACAGGTAATCCAAAATTAAAAGACTTTCAATCTTCGAAATGTTTGTAGTTTATTGTTTGACTTATCTAAATTATTTTAATGTTTTTTTGAACTTTAAAATATTTTAAGCAAACCAATATTTTTCTTGATTTTACATATCATAACTATATATATATATATATATATATATATATATATATATATATATATATATATATATATATATATATATATATAGAAATATTTATACATATATGTATATATATAAATTATATATATAAATATATATATAAATATATATATATATATATATATATTATATATATTTATATTATATATATATACATATAATATATAATTATATATATATATAATATATATATATATATTGTATATATATACATATATATATATAATATATATATATATAGTATATATATAATATTATATTATATATATCATTCGGCAACGTGGCGCGGAGTTGAAGATTTTTGTTTTATTTTCTGTCTGCGATAAACCCGAAATTCGAGAGTTGCAACGGGAAATAATTTCAATACGTTGTAGTGAGAATTGAGATAACTGAATAAGGTAACAACTGTGAAAAAATAAACACCGAAAACTGCAAAAAAACAATAACAAAGTGAATAATCGGATAAGGGAAAAAAGCGAGGTTAACTGATAAGAACTAACACTGGGAAGGAAGCTACGTTTAAGTGAATTGCGACGTTGCCAATGTGTGCAAAGTTTTGTGTTTGCCACGGAATACAAAATTAGTCCAGACTTCGAATAGGAGATTCAACAGGAAGTGGTAGATACTGTTTCTTCCGAGCTGTTGAAGCGAGAGATAGTGTCTGGCGCCAATCAGAGTTGAAAGTAATCCGCGAAGTGACCAAAAAAAAAAAAAGGAAAAGCATACAAGGATGGAAAAATATCTACAAGGTAAAACGTATATTGACAGTGACGATACAACAACAGATGAAGGAGCAAAAAGAAAGAATAGAGGAGAGGATGATGAGCAAGAGGAAGAGAGATCCAGAAAAAATAAAAAAACTAACAAGAACCCCTCAGAAGACAGGAGGAAAAGAGGATGGAGCAAAACTTGATAAATTGCTAGAAATGATGAGCAACCTAACCAGCGACATTAGACAAATAAAAGAAGACCAAAAGGAATACAAGGAGGTAGTTGAACATCTAATAAGGGAAAACAAGGAACTAAAGAATGATAATAAAATTCTAAAAGAGGAAAACATACAGATTAAGAAAGAATTAAGGGAAATACGAGACAACATAGAAATTATAGAAAAACAGAGAAGGCGAAATAATGTGGTAATGAACGGGCTAGCAATTGATACGCAGAATCAGCTGGTATTGAAGGAAGCAATTGGCAATTTTATAAAAGATCACCTTGCAGTAGAGGCCAAAATAAAGACGGCCACAAACTAGGTCCAAAAACGTGCCTAATTGAAATGGAGAACCAACAAGAAAAGATAAAAGTTATGAAGAATAAAGCAAAGTTAAAGGACGTCAAAAAGGAAAAGGTATACATCAACGATGACACAACGGTGAGAGAGAGAGAAATTCAAAAAATAATAAGAAAAATTGCACAAGAGGAAAGAAACAAAGGAAACGAAGTCAAAATAGGAGCAAGGAAAATGCTGATAAATGGTGTTGAATGGAAGTGGAATAGCAAGGAAGATAAAATGGAAATAACAAACTCAAAAAACTAGAAAACGGCTATGATAGTAAAAATACGAAGACGAACAACGCAAGGAACAAGGACATGAATACCGGTAACATTGTCATAGGAAAGGGTGATTTAAAGATAAAAAATACAAAAAAAGACAATAGAAACACATATCCAAAAGATCACTTAATGGTAGGAACGTGGAACGTAAGGGGTACTTTTGAGGAAGGAAAACTGAAACACTTAACTAAAGAAATTGAAAAGTTTAAATTTGACGTAGTGGCACTACAAGAAACAAAGCAACTGGGTCAGGAAATGCTGGAAATTGAAAATAGCTTATTTTTT